TTGTTATCATTATAGTGATAGCACTTTAGCCTTGAAACAATCGTCACTTAAATATTTTTATGTGTAGTTTTCATGCGAAAAACTTATCTAAATCACACTTTTATGTCTTATCAATTTTTTGTTTGATTTTTATTGCTCATTGAGTATTAATTGCAGAGTGATAGGTGATATGGTGATGATAAGAACTGGAAACTTATATGCTGGTTACTGATTTTTAATAGACTGTTATGCAAGAGGATTTAATTTTGAGTGCTGAACTTTTTAATGAATTTTAAGGGGGGGGGGGCAATAATTTTTTTATAGAAAATTTGAGGGGGGTGAGGGAGATTTTTAAGATTTTTTCATAAAACCCTGGCAAATTCTCCTTTCTCCTAGCTAGGTGTCTTACCCAATCAATCGAGTTGACTTAATGCCAGTTTTATTATCGATAAAACAGCTACTGACACTCGAAATTGACCCATTAGTACAAGAATTATTTATTAATCTCAAAAATTCAAACCCGATTAACAACAAAGAATTCAAAAGACATCAGAAATTTCCAATAATTCCAATACATTTCTCATTCCACTTCATCTATTTCAACATACTTTAAATTGTCATTCATATATTACGTAACATCTAGTTCAGACCGCATTACATTGCCTCTAACCTGACGTCCATTGACTCAACGAAAGCCGCACACACACACTTTTGTATCTATTTTTCTCTCATCTATTACTTCACAATCATTATTGACTGTGTATAGCATGTTGAGTGAAGGAAACAAGAAGAATCGAAGGTAGCAGGTATGAATGAATAGATGCGAGGCACTTGTTGCTATTGACACAATATTTATTGTGTTTTATTCGACACTCTCTATTGCCTCGCTACTCGACAATGTTTGAATATCAATTTTCGGTAATCTGTGGATTTTTTTGTATTCTTCTTATTTATTTTTGGCGTTTTGAGAATCTTGGATAAGAAAATAAATTAAATCACAATTTCAATCTGCAAAACTGGACTGATTTTTCAGTCTTTACGTGGTTGTCGGTAGAGCAACGAAGATTATTTTTTGCTCCAATTTATTTTGCAAATAAAAAAAGTTTTAAAATTTTCTCAAGATGAGTAAAAGTCACCCGGGCAAATTGATCCGTAGGTCAATTGCATTTGATAATGTCAATTCAACCTATGACCTGATGATGAATATGAAGCCAAAGGAGAAAAGTTTTGGAGAATTTCTTTGGGACAGTAAAACTGGAAAATTCATGACAAGAACGCCTTCAAGCTGGTGTAAGGAATTTTTTTGTGTGACTAGTTTAGATAATAGAATTTAAGACAGGATAGATTGTGTAAAGGAATTAGCTTTTTTGAGGTTTAGGCACTGCGAGTGAACTAATGTGATTCAAGAATCTTAGTGAAAGTTTTAGATGAAGATTGTAGTGGTTCCTAGAAAATGTTGAGCTTGAGACTTATTGTATGACCAACAGGCATTATTGAGCACGTAACTGAATATTATTGGATAGCTTTTCAAAAGCAGCTTAGCAATTATTTGGAAAAGTAGGAAGATTTAATCAAAGCCATTACCGTGTTCAGAGATCGTCTAAAGCAGTGTTGTCAAAACTGTGAGTCGTGGCACACTAGTGTACCGTAGGACACCCTCAAGTGTACTCAGCTCTATCCTTCGAAAAAAGGGTTTAAAATCCCGGGATCAAACCCGGGATACAGAACATTTCTCCCAGGATTGAAAACCCTTTTCAAAACTTTCTGCTAGTTCGTGATATTATGGACTCTAGCGTCCTCATCAACCTAAGAATTTATTAATTTATGCATAGAAGCAACATAAAGCTTTCAAAAAAAATCCACATAATTGTTCATTTTTCCGCCAATTTCCATGACTGAAAAAAGAATCTCTCCACAAAATAAATTTATTTTTCTATGCTTGTATATCTTCTAGTAAAGTTTCATGCTGGCTTAGTACTTTGAGCTTCTCAAATTTGCTCACATTTCAATGCTCTTTCTCTTTCTTACGGCTTTTTTTTCTCATATCATGTCACCCTTTAAACCTCAATTTTCGAGAAAATTTCTCGTTTGATTTTTTTTAAATAGAAATGAGAATTAACCGCATAGAGTCTCTCATGCCTTGTCAATCTCTATAAATTTCCTCACAATGAGCTTATAATGTGTACAATAAAAGTAATGAGAAAAAATGTAGAACAGCAATTGCGTGATATTCTTGAATTTTTCATTCAATGACGGAATTAAACATGTTTAAATTGGATTTTAATCTTATCACGCTTATGACATCAATCACAATTTAATGGTGATTGGAGTTTATGTTAATAAATATTTCACGATGATAATCCAATTGAAAGTTTTCATTTTAATAATTGTTGCATTTTAAAATAGGTGGAATTAAAGGAACTCAATTTTATAAAATGTCATTGAGTTATTTTGCTTGATGAAGGTCATTTGAGTTTGGATGGTGTTGAAAATTCCTCGATTTTTGCTTCAAAATGTTTTTCTTTCTTGTGCAAAATAGCAAATAGTAAAATATAATTTTTCAATAACAATCTTCGCCTGCATCTCTTCATTATCATTCAATACCTAACACTTATTACCATTTTAAAAAAACAACCAAAAGTTCATCGACTCCTAATTAAGCAAATTAAAAAATCCATCAAGAATATGAAATATCAAGACTGTCTCATAATAATTTATTACCATCTACAACGTGTGTTCGTCTGTCTAAGTCTGGAATGATTAAAATAATGCACGAACAAATATTTACACCGTCATGTGCTTGCTTATTGTCAGTTTACATTTTTTATTTGTTTTAAAATGTAAATAGAATTTTTATTACATAAACAGCGTTGCAGTGGTTGCAAGTGGAATGGTTAGAAATGTTCAATGTTTTATTTTAATTGCATGGGCAGCTGTACATTGAGTATGGCACTTAGTTTTGGTTGTCGAAGAGTAGTAACTCTGTAATAACAAAATTTTACTAAAGTCCCATCCAGGCACTTAGTTAACGGGGAACGGTTTCGTTCAAAATCCCCCATTTTTACACGCTTTAATTTAACTCACTCTGTTATGGAGCGTAAAATCTTATAATCGATTTTTCAATCACTTCTACTGCTTCAATCGAGCTCAAATTTTTTTTTTGCACACGTTTTCTTCAAAAAAAAATAGTTCAACTTGCTAAGTTTTCTTCAAAAAAATCCCAAACCTCCTATATAGAAAATTTTACCAGCCTTCTCTCCCCTTAGGTTATCAAAAGATTTTGCATTTATTTTTTTGTTGAAATAAACAAATTAGGGACCGTTCACTTATGACATCCAGCGGGGGGATCAGCAGGAAAAGAGCAATAGAAATTCCTGTAAATCTTTAATTTTTTTATGAAAAATGACCGTTATCTTCGGACGTCATGAATAAACGACCTCTCAGCAAAATAAAGAAATTTTGAAAAAAAAAACTGGGGTTGTGGTTTGAAACCCCTCCTGAATACGCCTCCCTTTTTTTTCCATATAATCGAATTTCAATTATTTTCACGAATTTTCACAAAATTCCAATTAAGTTTTCCACAAACTAGATATTCATCCAATCAAGTTTATTGAGTAGATAGATCATAATCAAAATTATTACGTGACGAGATTAAATTGTTTGAATACACATTTATTATAAATCTGTTGAAAATTGTTTGTGTAAATAACAAAAATTATAGAATTACTCAGCTTATAAAAGAGCGATAATGATGATAGATTTTGCATTAAAATGATATTGATGATACTGAGTTTATGAAGGTTGTACTAAGAAGATTTGTTTAATGTAGATTTCATTATGGGCTGTTCACTTATTACGTAACGCAAAAAAACGACTTTTCAGATCTTTTAATCTTAGACCCCCTCCCTCCCCCTAAAAGCGTTACGTAATGAGTGAACGGTCCCTTCGGGGCCGTCGCTTTCTAGAGGCACGGGGGATCTAGAATTTTATAACAGCTCAAAGAAAATAAACAAGCAAAAAGGTGGTCACTCGTGATCGACCAAAGCGCATTTTCCAACCCTTGTAAGGTTTGACCTGAGGATTGTAAGTAAAATCATATCTTGGGTGACCATCTAATTTTTGTGAAAATACAGGATATTTGATAAATTTCCTAAAAATACAGGACACAAAAGAAAATTTGAAAATTAACGGATATTTTCGTGAAAAAAATACAGGACCTGGAACAAAATTTTCAAATTTATACAGGACAGGGTTTTGAAATACAGGACTGTCCGTTGTAAAACGCGAGATCAAATTCATAAAAAATTGTAAACGCCGCATCAAAAAAGCTTTAACTGGAGGATGAGATGCTAGATAGACAGACACACAGACAAAATGCGGACAGTACCGTAATTTCCTGATAGAAAAATGCGCTTAAAATTGAGGAACGTAATAAATGAAAGATCTCTTACATGACGAGATTCCTAAATCATATCACCAGATCTTTTTATGACGCAAATCCACAAAGTGCACATGACATGAGATAATCTTGAGATTTTGAAGTATTTTTGAGTTTAAGCTTAATTGCCTTAATCGATAGTCAATAATAAATTAAAACCTGTTTGACAATCCGTTCCATTTTTTTTAAAAAAATTGAAAAACATTATCAATCCATCCAATTAGAAAGTAACGTCAATCGTCGGTGATAAAAATCTCGTGCTTTTGAGTGTCGCATTGAATGTCGTAAATCCTGATTATTGTCACAACAAATAATAAAAAATTCTTGTGATAAAAACTTTACATAATCTAGTTTATAACTTGGAATATTGTGTAAATAATTCGTTATCGTGTTGTCAATTGGAATAAATTTTGAGAATGAAAAGTAGAGTGTGAATTGATGGAAATTGATGATATGTGTGAACTGAGTTGTGATTTAATTAGAACCTACTTAAACAAGATCTAGTAAAATCCAAAAAAAAAATATTTTTTATCATTTTTAAAATTGTTTTTAATTTTTGCAACAATCTTAATTAAATTTTCAGGCCAACTCATCTTCTTTTACTCAATTTTCTACGCTTGCCTCTGTGCCTTATTTGCCATTTGTATGAAAGGACTTTTATCCACAATGGATTTAACTTCACCAAAATGGAAGCTTGGCGAGTCACTGATTGGAACTAATCCAGGTCTTGGATTCCGACCAATTGCACATGATGTTGATCAAGGATCTCTCATTTGGTATGATTCATCGAATAAAACACAAATTGACTATTGGGTTGATCGTGTTGATAGCTTTTTAGATGGTAAATAATTTCAAAAATTCAATTTTAATTTTTTTTTGTAATTTTCAAATTTTCTTTTTTCATTACTCATTATCAGAAGTCACAAAATCGGAAGGCAAACAAAAAATCTGTGACTTTGGCAACCCACCAAATGGAAATCAAGTTTGCAAGCTCGACACAACCAAATTCGGTGACTGTATAAAGGAAAATCTTTATGGTTATGGCAATGCAGCTCCATGCATATTCTTAAAACTCAATCGAATTTTCGGATGGGAACCAGAATATTATAATGATATAGATAATTTACCATCGGACATGCCAACGTCACTTGTAGATCACATAAAGAGTTTGAATGTTACTCAAAGAGATCAAGTTTGGGTAAGCTGTGGTGGTGAGCAAGGTATGGATAAGGAGCTGCTCGGACCAATTGAATATTTCCCTAAACAAGGATTTCCAGCATATTTCTATCCATATACAAATAGAAGAGGTTATGTCAGTCCATTGGTAGCTGTTAAATTCTTAAGACCAAGCGGTGAGTTTTGGATTTTTTAAAAATGAATTTTGACTTTCAATTTCTTCTGTTTTCAACAGTTAATCAAATCATCAACATCGAATGCCGTGCATGGGCTAAAAATATTGTATATTCAGGCAGTCATCGTGATAGAAAGGTAAGCATAACCTTCATAATGCGTCTTTATATGTCGATTTATTTATTTTTTTTTTATATATTTTTTAAGGGTTCCGTTCATTTTGAGATCATGATTGACGCGGACGTTGAATAAATAGGAAATGCACACAAAGAAAATAAGAACTGGAATAGAATGAAGAAAATGTTAAATAATTAAAACTGAAGATGAAGAATTAAAAATGCATCAACAAAATGCCTGAAGACGATAAGATTTCTAGTTATTTTTATGCTATTTAAGTTTTCTCTTTCAAAAATCCACGTGGGTTGTTAGCGAGAATTATTAAAAACTCGTTGTAAATTTTCGTCAAATCCGAGTGAACTATTAAGTCTTTTTTAAAATTCAAACATTTCAAAAAAAATCAAAATTTAATTCAAAGGTAAAAATTGTTCGGAATAGATTTTTAAAAACTTAAAAAAAATTAATTTATGTTCACATTAATTTTTTTCCTTATCATTTCCTAGCCACCTTGATCCTTATTCCTTAAGTTTGCTCATTCGAAGCATTAAATCGAAGGGAGGGGGTTCTGGATTTTAAAGAATTTCGTGACTAACTCCCAATTTTTGAAGAAGTCATTATTGAAAGATTCCTTTAAAGTAGGTTGCTAAAGCAGTGTTTCTCAAACTATGGTCCGGGTAAAAATTCTAGCTATAACTTTAGATGGTCTTAAAATTTATTTAAAAAAAGGACCGTAATAAAGATAAAGAAGAAGAAGAACTTTTTTGGTCGTCTTCGTGACGCGGGAACATAAATGGATGACTTACTGCTTCTTTAATGTCTAAAAGTGTAAAGTCTGACCTTAAAGTTTGAAAAACACTGTTCGAACACAAACGCGATAAACTTGAAATTTTAAGCGACACAATGATGAGCAAATTTTGAGTAGCACTGCCTTAATTCCCTAAAACTGAAGTATCCTTGAGATTACATCCATTCCCAACATAAAAAAGTATAAAAAATCCTAAAAAAATTAAAAGGGTCAGTCTGAAAATTTAAATAAAATTGAAAAATATTTTTAAAAAAAATTAAAATTTCTAGAATGTTGACTCTTGAAATAAAACAAATGTGAGAAAACATCTCAATTAATTACTCATAAGCTCCTAAAATTAAAGTTCAGTTCTAAGAATCTTAATTAGCTATTTAAAGATTCTTAGCTTATTTTTGATCATTTTAAAGATTTGATGATTTTATCAAAAATATATATTATTTTATAAAATCATCAAATTCTTCGATTAAATTATTAGAATGTCAAAAAAAATTATTTAAATTTAATGTTTTGGTTAAAACTTAAACTGCGTTTTCAAGTGACTTAATGCAAAATTCTCCAAAACAATAATAATGCAAATTTAACTTAGGTTAGTTTAAAAAATATGTCAAAAATATTATCGAGTCAAATTATTAAGAAAAATGTTAAATAAAACTTTAAGAAAACCAGAAAGTGGCGGAAAATTGTTTTGATTTTCATAAAAATTATTATTTCAGATTAGCAACTTTTGCTATAAATTGGAATGTAGCATAGCTAGGTGAGGGGAGGGGAAGGGGGGCTATTTTAAGATACGTTAGAATTTACAGAATCGACGTGGAATGAAATTAAAAGCTTTATGACTCATGACGAAATTGTTGAATATTAAAGGACTAAAATATATGACGGAACAAATTTGGCTGAAAGGTTATTAGCTAATAAAGGTAATCCAGGAGTGAATGAGTGGCTAAAGAACCTTAAGATTGAGTATGAATTGGCTGAAGATAAACTGAAGATTATTTAAGGTTTAAAAATTTGGTCTGAGTTAAAGACCGAGACTGTTCGTTAATCACTTAACTTTTAAGAAGTATTTTGTACAACAAATTGTATTAAAAACCTAAAATCAAATAATAGAGTCCAAATATCGAAATAAAAAGTATGTAAAACCTTAAAGCCCACCTTAAATTAATTTCAATTTGTTTCTCAAATTGCTTCAATATTTTCTCAAATAAATGTCCTCGTAAAAAGACATCAGACTACAACATGACAACAGACTTTCACATAAGCCCGAGATATTCTAATGAGCTTTACATTAATTTATATCCTTTTTATTTTGACTCAAAAAACACAAAAGTTTTCTTATGGACGAAGCACAAAAGCCGACCGGCAGGAAGCAAACGAAAGACCAAATAAAATTGAAAGTTATGTTATGAAGAAGGAAGGGAAAATAGAGAGAATCAATGTTTATTGTCCACGCAATATTTTTGAGGATTACATTTTTTATGGCTATAATGCGAAGGTCCAATGTTTCGTTGTCAAGAATGGATCGTAAAGTTTTTATACATAAAGAAAATCCCCAAATTTGAATTATCTGATTATCTGTCTAAAAATGAGAGCAGCACAGAGAGAACATAAGCCTCGTCGTTTTACAAAATGAAAAATTGCAAGTTTGAGATTCGGTTGACAAATTTTTGTTTTTTTTTTATTTATCCCTGAATAAATTTGCTTTACAATTTGATTGTAATGCATTACATTTGGGGATGTTTATTTGATATGATTGTATGTGAAATTAAATTAAAAATGATGTAAGACGTGGAAACTCAGAATTAATCCTGAAAAATCCTTTAAAAAAATCCCTGAAATCCCTTTAAATCCCGAAATTGTTCATCAAATGCATCAGGGATTTAAAAAGGATTTCACAATTCCTAGTATATTAGCTTAGAAATTTGTTAAGAATTTTTGAGATTTTTGAGGATTAATCCTGAGTTTTCAAGCCTTGAAATGATGCCATTTAGTGCCTTTGAGAGTTTTTGAAAAAATTGTCATAAGAGACAAGGATTGATCACTTACTAGGGTCACATTTATGATGGTTTTGAATATGAGCAGGGCTATCTTAAGACATGACCTTTTTGGAACGTAAGATTCAAGTAAGATTATCTATAAAAGGAGTCCATCCGATCCCTCAATTTATGCAGGAACGTAGCCAAAGACTAGGTTTAAATCGAACCCACCAATTCTTGAATTTTCTTTAAAAATTTACTGAGGTAATTTGAGAGAAAAATCCCAACACCCCGTTTAGATGAAATTATTCAACCCCACTCCTCCCTCTCCCCCTGCCTACACCCCTGAATTCATGACACCTTTCTACTGAATGTTCTTTTTATCACTCAACAATATTTATTTACACCACTCTTTATACAGTTCATACGTAAAATTCATTTACTTAATTTTACATTAATTCACCAACAATATCAAAAATTGATATTAAAATGCCTGAAACTAATTAAAAACAGATTAAATATGAGACGAAATACGGGAAAAAAAATATTTTCACTTACTCATGAATATGGCTTTTTTAATTTATCCCAATGGTAAAGGAAAATATGTTTCAACTTTTTTAATAAGTGTGCATATTAAAATCGGATAATTGCATCATAATGTGAAACATTGTGTGATTAAAAAAGTTTGATTAAAAGGATTTTCTTAATTATTTTAATTTAATAATTTGGATTAATATTTGATTTTCATGTTTTTTGATAGTAAATTAATTTTTTTGTGTTTGAATAATAATTACTCCAAATAGAAATGAGGCTATAACCAGGGGCGTAGCCAGAAAATTTTTTGCGGGGAGTTTTGGATTTTTTTTCTCAAAAATTGTTTTCAAAAGACGGGGCCTGAATTAAATTCATGAGGTGCCGACAAACCTTTCCCCACAAAAAAAAATTATTCTTTTCTCTTTGTCGAGATGAATGAACTTCCAAGATGAATAATATTCTACGAATGAGAAAAGAATGTCAAATGTTTAACATCTCAATTGAATGATTCTGGGGCAAAATGTCGTAATTGCATTTGCTTCTTTTACTTGTTATAACTCTAAAACTATAGAAGATAACATAGACATATTAAACATCGTTGGAATTGACATCCAAAGAGCTAATTAATTATGCTATTTTTGAACCGGTTCAATAGGTTTAAACGGTTTAAAAACCGGTTCAAAGTTGAAAAACTAAGAAATTGAATATCTTTTTCAATACTTAATCAAAGGCTTTGATTTTTAGCTCATTTTGTAGCCTTTAGAAATGCTCACAACTTGTTGGAGCTAGATTTTTGATTATCGACCTGTGACGTCATTTATGAGCCATTTGTGTCGAAACTTTGACAGCTTATTTCTCAGCAACTACATATGATACAATAATGATATGTACCTTAAAAATTTTCAATTTTCTTATAAATTAAAGAACATTAATAATTTGTAGGATTTGTGAATAAGTTTTGTCAAAAAATGATAAAACCGTAAAACATTAAAATGTTTTGAACACTATTTTACCTTTATTTGATACTTATCTTTCAAATACGGAAAAAAATTCTTATTGCATTAAAAGAGCTTTTAATTTCCTTTAAAATGATATATAACATGCTTGGGGTTTATCAGTAAATGACGTCTAAATTTTTTTTATTGTTTTCTAATGATTTTTGTACCTTTTTCCATTTAGTTTTAGTCTTCTATTCCACTTTCTTCTATTTTTTCACATTTTTCATAGAAATAAAAGTAAATATTGCCATTTTATCCAAAAATACTAATGTTTTATTAAGTAGCAAAACTTCAATAACAAATAGTTGAATGCACATTTAATAAATCATTAGTATTTTTTGATGAAATGGCAATATTTACTTTTATTTCGATGAAAAATGTGAAAAAATAGAAGAAAGTGGAATAGAAGACTAAAATTAAATAGAAATAGTGAGAAATAGGTACAAAAATCATTAAAAAACAATAAAAATTTTTAGACGTCATTTACTGATAAACCCCAAGCATGTTACATATCATTTCAAAGGAAATTAAAAGTTCTTTTTATTGTGATAAGAATTTTTTCCATATCTGAAAGATAAATATCAAATAAAGGTAAAATAGGTTCATAAGGGTTTTAATGTTTTAAGGTTTTATCATTTTTTGACAAAACTTATTCACAAATCCCACTAATTTTTAATGTTCATTAATTTATAGGAAAATTGGAAATTTTTAAGATATATATCATTATTGTATCATATGTAGTTGCTGAGAAATAAGCTGTCAAAGTTTCGACACAAATGGCTCATAAATGACGTCACAGGTCGATAATCAAAAATCTAGCTCCAACAAGTTGTGAGCATTTTTAAAGGCTACAAAATGAGCTAAAAATCAAAGCCTTTGATTAAGTATTGAAAAAGATATTCAATTTCTTAGTTTTTCAACTTTGAACCGGTTTTTAAACCGTTTAAACCTATTGAACCGGTTCAAAAATAGCATAATTAATTAGCTCTTTGGATGTCAATTCCAACGATGTATAATATGTCTATGTTATCTTCTATAGTTTTAGAGTTATAACAAGTAAAAGAACAAAATGCAATTACGACATTTTTCCCCAGAATCATTCAATTTCTTCTCATAAAATCTAGCTGTAAAAATAGCAAATGGCAATTTTACGACCTTGACTATTTATTTTTCATTCCTTCGCAACAACTCGATGAAAAATGAATCCTGCCAACATAACTCATCAAGAAGTATAAAAAAAATAAGATGAAATATCATAAAAAATAGAAACAAAAGTTGTCAATT